AGCCCCGCTCGGGATGGCAGTCCCGGGACGGCAGACAGCTCTGCGCCGGCATCCAGAGCGGGGCGGGACTTAGCGCCCCGCTCGGGATGGCGGCACAGATCTGCCTGCAGTCCCGGGATGGCAGACAGCTCTGCGCTGGCATCCAGAGCGGGGCGGGACTTAGCGCCCCGCTCGGGATGGCGGCACAGATCTGCCTGCAGTCCCGGGACTGCAGGCAGCTTTGCGCGGCCATCTGTAGCGGGGCGGGCTTCGCCCCCGGCTCCCGATGGCCGCGCAGAGCTGCGCTGATCCCGGGATGGCAGACAGCTCTGCGCCGCCATCCCGAGCGGGGCGGGACTTAGCGCCCCGCTCGGGTTGGTGGCGCAGATCTGCCTGCAGTCCCGGGACTGCAGGCAGCTTTGCGCGGCCATCTGGAGCGGGGCGGGCTTCGCCCCGGCTCCCGATGGCCGCGCAGAGCTGCGCTGATCCTGGGACAGCAGACAGCTCTGCGCCGCCATCCCGAGCGGGGCGGGACTTAGCGCCCCGCTCGGGATGGTGGCGCAGATCTGCCTGCAGTCCCGGGACGGCAGACAGCTCTGCGCTGGCATCCAGAGCAGGGCGGGACTTAGCGCCCCGCTCGGGATGGTGGCGCAGATCTGCCTGCAGTCCCGGGACTGCAGGCAGCTTTGCGCGGCCATCTGTAGTGGGGCGGGCTTCGCCCCCGGCTCCCGATGTCCGCGCAGAGCTGCGCTGATCCCGGCACGGCAGACAGCTCTGCGCCGCCATCCCGAGTGGGGCGGGACTTCTCTGCTGTCCCGGGGAGATTTTAAAATGCTGGGGGTCGGCAGCGAACGCTTCGCTCCCGCCCGCCAGCATTTTAAGATCGCCCGGGGCAGCGGAGAAGTCTCCGCTGTCCCGGGAAGGCAGGCGGGGGGGAGCAAAGACTTTTGCCCCCCGCCGGCCTTCAGAAGAGGTCCAGGACCTCTTCTGAAGGCCGGCTGTGGGCGAAAGTCTTTGCTCCCGACCGCCAGCAATTTAAAACAGGTCCCCGGAGATTTCCCTATGGGCTTTCGTCTTGCGAAGCAAGCCCATAGGGAAATTCGTCTTGCGAAGCGCCTCCGAAACAGAAAACCCTTTCGTCTTGCGGGTTTTCCGTCTTGCGAGGCATTCGTCTTGCGGGGTACCACTGTAGTCTGTTGATGCCAATGTCTAAGCCAATACCACTCACATTCTGTAACCAATAAAGCGGTGGCCTAAATTTGCCCATTAACAGTAACCTAAATTCTGTGTCCTTGTGTCTTTATTCTCCTGGGGGTGGCTTGGGGGTCTTGAAGAGCAACCAAACCTATACCTTAAGAATTGCAGATGTATTGTTGGAACCACAATATTCCACCACAGTCTAATAATAAATTAAACCCATTGATTAGTCCCATTGATTGCTGTGGGAAAAGGTGTGAAGCTTAAGTGCCACCTGTTGAAATGAGCATAGCTACGAAGTGTTGACTGGAGCACTTTTTAGTACAGTGGTACCTCAGGTTAAGTACTTAATTCGTTCCGGAGGTCCGTACTTAACCTGAAACTGTTCTTAACCTGAAGCACCACTTTAGCTAATGGGGCTTCCTGCTGCTGCTACGCCGCTGCTGCACAATTTCTGTTCTCATCCTGAAGCAAAGTTCTTAACCTGAAGCACTTTTTCTGGGTTAGTGGAGTCTGTAACCTGAAGCGTATGTAACCTGAAGCATATGTAACCCGAGGTACCACTGTATATAAAAAGATGGGTAAATAGAAGTGTGCACAACATTTTACCAGTCCAGAGCCCTGGATGCCACCTCGAATTCTGACAGTATTGATAAGCTTGAAAGTTCACCCATTCTTAATGTATGCTATCTTTTCCCTCCTGCATTCACATAGCTATACATGAGTTGTTCTGCACATAGGGAGAGATATGCCGAAAGATATACCACAAAACCAGTCCTAGGAGCCCTCAGCCATATGCATTGCCACACATGTGGTGGTTGCCCATAATGGGAGGCCAGTTTGTGCCTCGCGTCTGAACATCTGGCATGATCCCAACAAGTAACGCTTCTTGCAGGAGAATGCTGTGTCCCAGGGAGAAGTGAGTTACTGGCTATTACCTGTCAGTTGCAGGAAAGCCTGATCCATATCCACTGGGGAGAGACAAATCTGTCAGTTTCTGTTTCTCTACGTTTCTCATTTTTCCATTCTTAAGTTCAACACACTTCCAAGTCCATTTGTAAACCTTTATTTTTTTTTTAAAAGTCTGCACAAAAATTGTATTCATTTTTCGGTGCCTGTCTCCTCATATTTACATTTCATACACCATTGTGTCTAATATATGCATTTGGGAGGGGGGGTCACTTAAACAATGCATTCTTATGCATATTGGTTGGCTGTGGAGCTGCATTATAAATTATGATGGCAAATGTGCTTACTGGGAAAGGATGTGCAGATTAGGTTGGTTTGGACTAAAATACAGGCCAAATGCATTTCCCATCCCTGAAGTCCTCTGACAAGCGGTGTGAGGTGGATAGCTAGGAAAATGAGGGACTTCTCGGTGGTGGCACCTTCCTTTTGGAACAATTAGTGATGTTAAATTCTTGAGATTATTCTCAGGAATTTAACATCACTAGGAACATCCTCCCTGGGGGAGGGCCACCTGGGACATTCTTCATCGTCTTATTCGTTCCAGATGAAGAGCACTTCATTTACTCAGGCCTTTCAAGTTTGCATTTTTAAAATCAACCCTGCACTGTCACTTTTAAAAATGTGGTTTTAAATAACTCTTTGTGTGGTTTTTTGCTGAGTTGCGCATGGTTTTATTCCATCTCCACTGGAAGGAAAGCTTTATGCCGTTGCTTTTTACTGTCTTAATCATTATACTTTGTGTTTTGTTTTGTACGTACGGTGTTTGTTTTTGCTTTCTAAGCCACCTAGATTATTTTTTGATGATCAGCCAAATACATTTAATAAATCACTCTCCTTCCAGCTGTCATGATGAAGCATGCCCTGCCCAGAGCCCAGCTGAGGGATGGTGGGGGAGGAGAGAACACGCTGGTCCCTTGGCAGGGGTGTTTCAGCCACAGGGCTGCATTCCATCATGCGCTGCATGCCACTGGTGGGTGAGGCGAGACGCAAAGGTGGGCAGAGCAAGGGAAACGTCTTTTGCCTTCGTACCATGGGCTGCATTCCAGCCATGCAATAGAGCTGTGCACGCATGTAAACACATCCAAACACACACACCTCCACGTGCCTTTCCGCCAAGGAAGAAGCATTGCCACAGTCCAAGGATGCTTTCTGCACAGGCAAAAGCACTTGAGCAGGGCCAGAGAGGGGCATGGCCTGAGGAGTGTGGCTTGGAGAGAGTCGCCAAGGCTGGCTAGAGATTCTTGAAGGGCTGTGCTCACCCATTAGACAGGCGGTTCATCGCCCCTGATCTAGGGGGTACCGTTGGTGGAGCAGGGAGAGTGCATGATGGTGCACAATCATTTTGCTAAGAAGACTGATTGGTTGAAGATAATTTCTGCTTGAATGCTTCTCCCTAAGTCAGTGGTTGAGGGACACGGGTGGCACTGTGGTCTAAACCACAGAGCCTAGGGCTTGCCGGTCAGAAGGTCGGCAGTTCGAATCCCCGTGACAGGGTGCGATCCCATTGCTGCTGCCAACCTAGCAGTTCAAAAGCACATCAAAGTGCTGGTAGATAAATAGGTACCTCTCCGATGGGAAGGTAAACGGCTTTTCTGTGCGCTGCTCTGCTTCTCCAGAAGTGGCTTAGTCATGCTGGCCACATGACCCAGAAGCTGCCTGTGGACAAACGCTGGCTCCCTCGGCCTATAGAGTGAGATGAGCGCGCAACCCCAGAGTCGTCTGCAACTGGACCTAACGGTCAGGGGTACCTTTACTCTGGGGTTGCGTGCTCATCTCGCTCTATAGGCCGAGGGAGCCAGCATTTGTCCACCTTTAAGTCAGTAGTTATCGACTAGTGTGCTGTGGCACCCTGGGGTGCCTTGAATGATGGTCAGGGGTGCCGTGGGCAACACTGGCCTCTGTCCCTCTTTCCTTCCCTCCCTCCTCTGATGCCCTCTCGCGTCCCTGCCTCTCAAAGGCTTGCACAGCTGTTTATTGCAGCAGCCCTGGCTATAAGCTCTGCAGGCGATTGGTTGCACTCCATGTTCTCTTTGGGGCAGGGGCAGCTCAGAGACAGAAGCAGCTGCCCGCCCAGAGGACTCCCAAGGAGAGGGGAGAGGAGGCTGAGGGAACACTCCCCAGGGGAGGGTGTTCGAAAAAGGGTGAGAAGCTACCAGCTCTGCAGGCAAAGGGTGTCCTAACTGGGCTCCTGAGCCCCACAGGGGTGCCGCAGAGTGATTGCATTTGGTCAAGGGAGCCGTGGACCCCAGAAGGTTGAAACCTCTGCCCTAAGTGATGCTTGTGTTCCAAAGCACCTTGGTGTTAGCTGCCTGGAGTTTCAGTGTGTGTCGCCTCTGCACAATGCAACAGGCAGTGATGGTGAACAAGACTTGCAAGTCAGTGTCAGGCCGCTCATGGCTGGCTTCAGCAGCAGAAACTGACAAATCTCTCAATTTCAGTTTCCCATTTTTCCATTTCTGCATCAGTTGGCAATTTGTTCCTAAAAAAAGAAAAAGTTCACATGAAAATTCACACACTTCTCGTGCATTTCTGCAAGCAATTTCCCAGCATATAATGCAATATTTGCAGTAATGCATGTATATTTGTACAGACTTTCCCTCAATGTATACTTTTTCCACACTTTGGAGAGCTGCACTGCAAAACTGGAAGAAGTCCTACTTTCAAAGGTTCATTTCAGTTTGTGTATTTTGATCAGAAGCACAGATTATATTCAAATTGTGAACTGGGTGACTTTCTGCTCATTCCCTATTCAGTGTGGAAAGTTTCCTATTTACCAACCAATTGTTCTTTTTCCTGTGCTCCCCCCTCCCCCACTGTCTGCTGCAGCCACAAACGTGGAGTGCAGCTCAGTGTGGTGAAATTTCCTGATGCTGATCATGATGTCACAGGAGGAGGAAAAAACCCTCCAAGAATAGAAATGGCATATACTTTTAATGCAACTTACTCATCGCTTGCTGGTGTTTAGACTCGACCTTCGGAGTTGCCCAATGTCCTGGCTTCCGCTCAGGCACAATGAAGGAGTGGCTCGAGAAGGAGCTGTAAGCAAACAGAGCTGGATTCCTTCATTTCCCTGTTCGGATGTGATGCAGGAAGACGGGGGAGAGAACAACTCCGCGACGGTGGCTTCTGAACATTCTGCTGGCTACGAGCCCTTTCCCAGGCTCCCTCTTGGTTTATCCTGCAGGATCCCCAGGAGCCGCACTCACGGATACCTTGCTTACAAAACCCCGTGTGCTTGCATCAACTACCAAGCCCTCCTTCCTCTGCCAAGCAGTGGAGTACGACTGTCTCGCTGATGCAGGCCTGGCCACTAAACCCTTGCTTAGGGGCAAGGGGAAGTCCTCTGGAATTCTCATAGACCTCATTGTGTGTGTGTGGCTTGTGTGCATTACTGGATTAGAGCAAATGGGATACAAAGGAACAAAGAACAGGATGCATTGCTATCGGAGGCGGCCAAAGAAGGTAACATGTATTTTGAATTACTCGGCTGGGGTCTCAGCTTTTGAGTTAATTGCTTTGTACAGGGTGTGAGTTGCATACTGAAGAACTCTGTGCTTCTTATAGGCATGGGGAACCTCATGTTCAGGAGCAACATGCCTATAAGTATTGCCCACTGATGGAAATAACATAAGAAGAGAAGGCCATATCTCTATGTCTTGCCTGAGCCTGGTGGTTGTTGCAGACAAACTGTTGAGTTGGATGGACTTTTGGTCTGACCCGGCAAGGCATTAGGACAACTACTATAGCACAATGGCTAAGCTATGCTTCATAATACTCAGAAGAAGCCTTTGCTACTTCAATGAAACATTTTGAACCCCTGAATGTGCTATATACATGATAAGTATAATTTATCACTAGAATTAGCATCATAGTACTCAGAACAAGTCCTGGTGCTTTCTGGCCCAGCTATGAACCGGAAAACCCATCATGCAAATCCCACTTCTAGCATATATGTTACTAGATAGGCTCAGGTAAGCCTTCCTTGTCTCTGTTTCAGTGTTTATGGGGAAAATAATACTGGCAAGCCTTACAGGGTGCTGTTAAGTGTTGCTGAAATAACGTATGTGAAACATTTTGAACGGACACAGCATGTTTTATTATCCATCCACTTGGTGCTTTTTAACCTGCATTTTAGTAAGAGGACGCGGGTGGCGTTGTGGGTAAAAGCCTCAGCGCCTAGGGCTTGCCGATCGAAAGGTCGGCGGTTCGAATCCCCGCGGCGGGGTGCGCTTCCGCTGCTCGGTCCCAGCGCCTGCCAACCTAGCAGTTCGAAAGCACCCCCGGGTGCAAGTAGATAAATAGGGACCGCTTACTAGCGGGAAGGTAAACGGCGTTTCCGTGTGCTGCGCTGGCTCACCAGATGCAGCTTTGTCACGCTGGCCACGTGACCCGGAAGTGTCTCCGGACAGCGCTGGCCCCCGGCCTCGAGTGAGATGGGCGCACAACCCCAGAGTCTGGCAAGACTGGCCCGTACGGGCAGGGGTACCTTTACCTTTACCTTAGTAAGAGAGGTTGCTTTGAGATGGAAAATAAACATTCTCCATCATTTTGCTGAGCATGGGTTAAGAATTTAGTGAGCAAAACCCACAGTGCTAGAGGCTAGTGAACAAAGCAGACACTTATGGCACTTGGCTTGTATACGATTGTGGCTAAAACACTGAGCTATGTCAATTGGAGGAGGGCCATACTTCAAAGCTCACTTCTTCTATAAACTCACTTTACACACTCACTTTTTGCCCCGTGTGTCACATGCACAAGCCTGTGCTTTCCTGGTCCGTGTCTGAGTGTTTTCCCCCACCCTTGCCACTTTCCTCAAGGAAAAGCTGCTCTTTACTGCTGAATCGGAACAAGTGGCCATTCAGGTTTTTCGCAGATTGCCATTTGCACTGATTCAGTTGCAATGAGTAAGCTTTTGTGAGGAAAGCAGTGCCTCCCACAAAAAAAAGCACTCAGACAGGGAGCTTTAAAACACAGATCTGTACCTAGAAATGTGGAGCAAAGCTAAGTGTGCATGAGTTGTTACGAGTAGCTTTACTATCTGCCTTGGCCCCCTTCGTGCAATATGGGATTGATAGTGCCCTTCTTTGTAGGAGTGTTGTAATGATTACAGCAAGGTAATCATACACTTGAAGCCCTTCGAACACCTGAAGGTGCTCTCTACATGCTAAGTATCACAGCTGGAAGGAGTTTTGCTGCTCTTTGGTCCAGCAAGTCCGGGTCTCATGCCAGGTTCCTGAGGCAGACAAGACACGGTGTGAGAGTGTATATTGGGCAAGAGGCCTAGGAGCTTTCTTCACACTTCCTTCCAGAAGTATTTTCATACCAACGAGAGGCCTTCAGCATTCATTGGCTGTCTGAATTAGCAGCTACCAAAGACCATCCCATAAACAGGATGGCTTTGGAGGAGCAGCTCAGATCACCAGCAAGTGTAACTGATGCTGGATCTCTTGAAGCTTCCTAGCAATGGTGCTTCAGCTCGTGGGGTCTATATCCCTTCAGTTGGTAATATGTACTGCAGGCGTAAGGACTGAGGTCCAGTGCTGAGGGCCTTCTGGCGGTTCCCTCGCTGCGAGAAGCCAAGCTACAGGGAACCAGGCAGAGGGCCTTCTCGGTAGTGGCACCCACCCTATGGAACACCCTCCCACCAGATGTCAGAGAGAACAACAATTACCAGACTTTTAGAAGACAGCTGAAGGCAGCCCTCTTTAGGGAAGCTTTTAATGTTTGATAGACTATTGTATTTTAATATTCTGTTGGAAGCTGCCCAGAGTGGCTGAGGAAACCCAGCCAGATGGGTGGGGTATAAATAATAAATTATTATTATTATTATTATTATTATTATTATTATTAATACTGAGAGTGCTGATGAGTAACTTGGAATAGATCTCAGTGGTCACAGATTGAAATTCTATCTCCAGATAGAATTCTATCTCCAGAGAGAGATGTGGGGAGTGTGACCTTGCTAGTTTTTCTTGGCATCTCAGAGGCTTTCAATACCATTGAAATCCCATGGTGTCCTTTAAGGAGGTGGGGGTTGCGGGCACTGTACGACAGTGTTTCTTCTGCTACCTCCAGAGCTGCTTCCAGAAAGCAATTGTGTCTTGGTACAATGGCACCTTTATAGATGCAATTGTAGGACCCTGGTTGTTGTTGTTGCTGTTTAGTCGTTTCTGACTCTTCGTGACCCCCTGGACCAGAGCACTCCAGGCACTCCTGTCTTCCACTGCCTCCCGCAGTTTGGTCAAACTCATGCTGGTAGCTTTGAGAACACTGTCCAACCATCTTGTCCTGTGATGGCCTGGGAATCCGATTCAGAGGTTGAACCGGAGGAATCCCAGCCTGCACATGAGTCCCCGCCTCCAGGGCCGGCTGAGCTGGGGCAGGCCCTTGATTCTGAAGTGCCTGCACCTGCCTGCACCTGTGCCGGATCCTCAGGAGCAGGTACCAGGTGAATCCACTCTGGCTCCGGAGGCGATGGAGGACGCATTGCCTACAGGTGCGCCTCCCCCAGCCCTGTCAGGGGAAAGTGAGTCTCCCCCTGGGTCCAGTAACCCACCGGCCTCTCCTGAGCTGCAGAGGCTCAGGGCAGAGAGGCGGAGGGAACTGGTTTCTCCCAGGAGGAGTGCTTGTCTTAAGGCCAGGAGAGGCGGGTCACCTGGGGGCCAGGACCGCCCCTGGCCTCAGAGAAGATAAAGGCCTGTCAGCCCGGTCCCAGGTTGCGGGAGCAACGTTGTTGAAGAGCTGTTTCGGCCAGCACCCAGTCCTGTTCCCCCAGAGTTCCTGTCCTTGCCCGGCTCCTCGCTGTGGACCCTGCTTCACCCGTGGAGGACTGTCTGCCGACCCTCGACTCAGGTCCTGGACCTCGCCCCACGGTAACCTCCCCCCTGGACCAGCACACGTCCTCTGTCATCCCCTTCTCCTTGTGCCCTCCATCTTTCCCAACATCAGGGTCTTTTCCAGGGAGTCTTCTCTTCTCATGAGGTGGCCAAAGTATTGGAGTCTCAGTTTCAGGACCTGTCCTTCCAGTGAGCACTCAGGGCTGATTTCCTTAAGAATGGATAGGTTGGATCTTCTTGCAGTCCATGGGACTCTCAAGAGTCTCCTCCAGCACCATAATTCAAAAGCATCAGCCTTCTTTATGGTCCAGCTCTCACTTCCATACATCACTACTGGGAAAACCATAGCTTTAACTATATGGATCCCTTCATGGATCACTGCCTTGCTGTGGCGAAGGGGCTTGAATAACTCAGAGAAGCTATGAACTATGCCGAGCAGGACCCCGGTAGGGATTGATATTACCTGGTGTCCAAACAACTCATTTATCCCTTGCAGCTCTTCACTTCACTCATTGGCGAAAAACACTGGTGGATTGTGATCTGTTATTTCCATAGACACTGTGTCTCTGTGTCTCCTCCTTTCCTTTCTTCCAGGGCCCAGGATGATACGCCTCTTTCCCATTTCTCCCCCTCAAATCATAATGGCACATATTTTGCTAGGGATCTTTATCCGTTTCAGCAGATTCCAACTGCAGCCATGACATGTAAGAACATGTTTATTGCTGAATTACACACACAAAAGGATTGTCCACGATTGTCCACAAGGCTCCTGATCTATTGAGATTTCACAAGCACAGTTTATCACTACTGGATGACAAGCAGCTGAATGTGTGAAATGCAAAACACGGCATTTGAGGTTACGTGAGGTGATTTCTGACGGCTGAGTCACAAATGCCTAGCCACAGTAATTCATGTGTCGCTTACTGAAAGAATGGATTACTGCAGTGTGCTTTATGTGGGGCTTCCCATGCGCTTAATCAGGCAGCATCAGATAGTGAAGAATGCTGCAGCCCAATTGCTGACAGGAGTGAGGCACATATAACACCTGTGCTCAGCATTGGTTGCTGATTTGCTGCCCGGCCAATTTCAAGGTGTTATTACAGTGGTACCTTGGGATGTGAACAGGATCCGTTCCGGAGCCCCGTTCGCATCCAGAAGCAAACGTAACTAGCGACGGCACGTCTGTGCACGCGTGCATCACTTTTCGCCTGCTTCTGCACATGCGCGTGACGTCATTTTGAGCGTCTGCGCATGCGTGAGTGGCAAAACCCAGAAGTAACGTGCTCCTTTACTTCTGGGTTGCCGCGGAGCGCAACTCGAATGCGCTCAACATGAAGCATATTCAACCCGAGGTATGACTGTATTAGCATATGTAATCATAACAACTTGGGACTAGTTTACCTACGACATTCCACATGTGCCCACTTGACCTCTTTGATTGGCACTCCTACAAGTGCAACATAAATAGCCGTTCTGCATTTGTAAAAACCTTGGAACTCCCTGCTTATTGAGCAGACGCCTTCCTTGTGCTCTTTTTTTGGTGCCTGCCATAAACATTCTTCCTTAAAGAAGCCTCCCCAGATGTTTAGAAAGCTGAAGTAATTTTAATGTTTTAGTATTTTCACT